AGCTTTCCTTAAGCACCAACTCCTATCTATTGCTATTCTCCCAGGTTCCATTATGCAGACTGTCATAACAAACTTGAGTTCCTGTATTCTATCCTCTTAGCACTTGCTTTATCCTAAGGGACAAGTAATATTATATGTCCAGAAACTGCCAAGCCATATTGTGGAATAGTTAGAAAATGGCAAAAATAATATAGACTATTTTCATATAGTTCCCAAAATAAGTCTATTCTGGAATTCTAGAAAAATTGGTGGCAGTAGTGACATAGCATTAGAATCTGTTTGAATTTCCCCATTAAAACAGGAAAAAAAATGGGATATAAAAACTAAAAATTGATAAACAACTTTGACAACAAAACTAGGTGGCAAGGTATTCTCATAAATTCTAAAAATGAGCAGTCTTGTGAACCACATGATACTACAAATTTTGTAAGAGAAAACGGAGGGAAGTGACAAGGTGTCTGAGGGAAATGAGGCCAGAATAACACCCAACTTTCCAGTAGATACTCATGAGAAATTGTTTCAGGCCAATGTGCTAATAGTAGCTGAAAATGAAAGAGGCGTTTGCAGGTGAATGAAAAAAACTCCTCTCTAATGTCTGAAAGGTATGAATACTGTGCAACCTATGAATTTCTGAACTCATTAGCTGAAGCTCCTTCTCAAAAGAAACTTCATGTAATAAAGCCCAGATTGGTGAGGTAGAAACAGTAGGGGCAAAGGAAATGGAAAATCTAGATAAAAATGGGAAAAGTAAGCATAGTTAGGAGGTCTCCCCCTCCCCCCCCAAAAAAACTAGAAGGGCAATGTTTTAAAACTTCAAAAAGTACTGGAAAGAGAATTCTATATTTTTGAACTAAGAAATTTTCTCATGGTCAAATCCTCCCTCTTTAAGATCAGGAAAGTTGATTTCAGGTAAAAAAAAAAAAAAAAGAAAAGAAAAGAAAAATACTAGAAAAAGATAAATGCTATAAGAGTAAAATAATAAGAAGTAGACTACTATCTCTGCAAGCAATGCAAACACACTAAAACTTTATGTTCATAAGAAAGAAGAAAAGTACAACCTGATATTTCAAAACGGGCTAAAATAAGTACTTTCAATGATCAAATATAGAAAGGAACAACATAAATCAAATTTAGAAAAACTTTGAAATGTGTAGCAGGACTGCAGGAAAAGATTAGAAATCAAAGACTATATCATTTCAGAAATGAAGACTAAACTTATGAGAACACCTGAATCAATATAATACCAAGGGAAAGTGCCATAAAAGTTTTAGAGGAGAAAAAGGAAAATTTTTTTAAAGTAAAAAGAAAATTAAAACACAATTATTCAATTGAAACTGACCTTATAGAAGATAAGCAACAAGACCAAAAATGATGTTTTTCTAAAGAGAAAAATCAAACAATGAAATAAAATGTACATTAATAACTATAATTCCAGGTCTCCTTCACTCATGGGGTTGACCCATTCCTTCTCTGGAATGTAAAAAACAGAATTTTTAATTAAAAAAAAAACTATTATTCCAGGGAAATTTCCTGAACATAAAATTCAAACTATATGTTGAAAAGGAGCACTACATGCCTAGAAGATTGTTCCATAATGAATAATATCAAGATTTAGGTAAATCTACAAGACTTCAAAAAAAAGATAAAAATAAGTTTCACTTCCAAGTAATAGATACTTGTAAGAATTAGGGAAAAAATCATATTGTCATCAGACTTTGCAAAAACAACCCTTTATTCTGAATGTAAATGGAATAATGTTCCATAACATTCCAATGTAAATGGAATGTAAATGTTCTTTCTTATGAACATTTTAAAGACACTCAAGGAAATATTTTGTGATCCAAGGATTTCAGATCTACCAAACTTATTTTCAAGTTTAAAGGCCACAGATATATTTATGAACTTACAAGAACTCAGAATATTGTTCTCTGTGATGGAAATAGCATTTGCCCATTTGCTCAGTCCCAAACCTTGGCATGTTTCTTGATGTCTTTTTTTTTTTTTTTTTTCTCTAATAGCTCAAATCCAATTCAATTGAAAATCCTATAGGCTCTACCTTAAAAACAAATCCCAAACATGACTTCTCCATCCCATTGTTATCCATTTATTTCAAGCAACATTCAATTTATTGCAGCCATGACTGCAATGGGCTCCTTCCTTGTTTCTTTGCTTCCAGTTTTCCCTTCCTCTAGCCTGTTTTCCACACAGCAGCCAGAATGAGCTGTTGTGCATGCTTATGCTCAAAAACGTATGATTCCTTACATTATTTAGTCTTGGTTGCCTCTCTAACCTGCCCTTTGCTCACTATAGCTCGGCCACATTGCTAGCTGGTTATTTCACTCAGTATTGTGTAGGGAGCATTCATTTGCCTAAAATGCTCTTCCGTTAGATGGATATGTGGCCGCTGTCTCTCTTTACTAAGATGTCTTCAAGTATCTTCTCCTCAGAGTGACCTTTCCTAGTCCCCTTTCTAAAACAGTATCCCCTCCGTCACGTTCTCTACCCTTACTGTGCTTTACTTTTCTTCATAGGACTTAATCTTCTGACATATTACAAATCTATGTTTGTTACACTCTTCCTTACAAAATGTAAGCTCCATGATGGAAGGGATTGTGTTTATCATGTTCACTTCTGTATCCTCAGCCCCTCAAATAGTGCCGGGCACAAAGTATATATTTTCCCAATAATATTTCTCAATTAAATAAATTTATTCATAAGAGATGTTACAGACCAAAAATTAAAATGTTTCTTTTATAGAAAATAGATCAATAATAGATTGTTACTGAGGGCAAAATAATTTGGAGGCATTCCTAAATTTTGTGCTTAATTTGTCAAAGAACAGGATGACATGCATCTATTATACGTCCCTTTAAAATCTACTGTCAGTGTACATACTGGACTGTATATGGCTCTGAATTTCTGTTGTCCAGCAAAGAGGTAAAACCTTATAAACAACTCAGCCTGTAACCTCTGTTATTATTAACTAGTATCTATTCAAGTACCATGAACTCAGGCCGGGCGCGGTGGCTCACGCCTGTAATCCTAGCACTCTGGGAGGCTGAGGCGGGCGGATTGCTCGAGGTCAGGAGTTCGAAACCAGCCTGAGCAAGAGCGAGACCTCGTCTCTACTATAAATAGAAAGAAATTAATTGGCCAACTAATATATATATAAAATTAGCAGGGCTTGGTGGCACATGCCTGTAGTCCCAGCTACTCGGGAGGCTGAGGCAGCAGGATTGCTTGAGCCCAGGAGTTTGAGGTTGCCGTGAGCTAGGCTGACGCCACGGCACTCACTCTAGCCTGGGCAACAAGCGAAAAAAAAAAAAAAAAAAAAAAGTACCATGAACTCGGCAGAGGTTCTTTAAATCAGATTTCATAACTTATATCTAAAAATAAATTAATCATTTTATGACATATTTATTCCTCTAAGTATGATGGCATTACACCATTCTAGGCATTTTTAGGACTCCAAATGGCAATAATAACATAATCGTATTGTTTTTCAAGAAGTGTGCCTTTTACGAAAATTTAAAATTCTAATATAAGCAATTTAAAATAATTCAATCTATATGTTACATAATTTCGTCAGACTATGTTACATCATATGCAGACCTATTTACCACATTCTTTATCAACTGTTACTTTCCTCAATCCTGTCCAGCTGCAGGTCCTGAAAATCTTTTGCCTACAGGCTCAGTTCCCTCCAGTGCCTGGACCAACCTAAATCAGATTACGAATACATTTTAGCGCTATAGGCACCAGTACAGGTTTTGCTTCTAGAAGCCTGTGTCCTTTCTCTGTAATGTTCACTACATGTTTTGTCTTTTCTAATGGATTGCTGCTCAGATTTCTTGATTAAACCATCTATAACTCTGCTCTAAATCTCAGCCCATTGGAACAGGGCTTGGCCACTCTGCCCAGCTCTTTCAAACCCTTATAGTAAATTCTCATCCCTACTATTCTCAGTTGCTGATTGGAGCCTTAATGAAAATCATACCACTCTTTTCAACTCCAGGTACCAATATTTGGCCATGAGGTTCTGCACCATAGAAAAAGTGAATTGTATAAATTTAATCCATCTTATATAAGTTTATAAGTTTATGTAATGTTTCTAGGCTTATTCATTGGCCAAAGTGAAAAAACATGCCCAAAGCATAGATAACTAAACAGACGTATCAAATAATTTTACCAAGGAGAGTAAAATATGCAAGTCCTAACATGGGTCAGAGACACAAACTTTTCAGAAGCCGAGTGGACAAATAGAAATACATACTTGGGGTTGAGACTAAAGAAAAAATCTGAAATATCGCATTTATTAGAAAAGTTTTTCTTTGTCTTTCTTGCCTTCATTTGGACTTGATTTGGTCATTTGAGAATCGTTAAAATCAATGAATGGTTTTTGTAATTACATTTGGGTCAAATCTATATTAACTTATGTTAATTATGGTACTAATGCACTGCTTGAATGTAAAGCAAGAACTTGATGTCCTCAGTTGGCAATTTAATCTTGCTTTTGAAGAATTCTTAATGTGAAATCACCATTTAGCCTTGTAATAGCCTTTCTTAGGGTCAATCATTTTCCTTTATGTTTGGCATTAGATGGGAAAGAAGATGTATGAATATGTTTTAGTCACAGAAATAAACAATATAATTAGTCTATATTGATATACAGAAGGGAGCACCTAGTAATGAAGCAATCTAAAAAACACAAATTTGAGTATTTGCCCAATTTGTTTTTATTCCCTTGCATACAGTACTATAGGAGTTCAAGAATGGGTCATGGTCATTTGACTGGAATTTGAAAACTGTTCTAATTGTTGGAGGATTTGGGGAAGAATTTCTAATTCATAATATGTAAATGCTTCTTCTCTGATACTGTGCTATAAACAATGAGTGCTTCTTTATTAGATGCTAATGCCAAAGCCAATGCTGTTCAAACTTATTTCCATTGACTTGATTAACTAGCTAACTTATGGTTTTTTTGTGTGTGCTTCCTTTAGATAAGAAATGTTGAAACCAATCAATGTTTAGACAACATGGGCCGCAAAGAAAATGAAAAAGTGGGTATATTCAACTGCCATGGTATGGGAGGAAATCAGGTAAACTCTCCTTTTTTGATATCTGTTTCCTATTTTGGAGGAAAATTATTGTTCCTAAAGCTATCATTGTAGATCATGGCTCACATACAAATAACAATAAATTCTTAGTTTAGTAAATAAATGAGCATTCAAATCAAAGACTGATTTGGCTATTTTATTGTCTCAAGTATCTTAAGAATGCACTACAAAATTAAATAAAAAGGACACTGCTTTCAATGAGCCTACAATTAATGAGACTATCCAAATATTTTAGACCTATCTCATTTTTATCACATATGAGCAAATGAGGACTACATTTTATTCTATTAACTGCATGTATAGAACCATTTGTCAATAACTGCAATCTTTTCTCAGTGGTGATTATTCTACATTTCTTATTCATTTTTAGGTATATCATAGAATTTTTTGCAGTATAATAAAATTTTTAAGTGCATGGGTCAACGTTGATGGCTGATTAAAAGTCTAGGGACAGGATTTTTTTGTGTGTGACAGTCCAGTTAATTATCAGAGACTTATCAGAGCACAGCAGAGATTCTTGTACTCTCCTTCAGCATTGGAAATCAGCTCAACAAGATACACACATAGAAGATGGCTTGCTGTGAGTCTTTAGACTAGAGCAACCTTGCTGCCATGGCCACTTTGAGAGGTAGAATTTGGAGTTCCTGGGACCTGTACCAACATAGCAGAGTTTGAGATAGATCATCCTCTGCAGACAAGTTGTCTGTAGAAGCTGAGGGGAACCACAGAAGTGAGTTCCTTATCTAGTGGTAGAACTTCTGAGTTAGCATGGACTGACCTTAAAAATGTTATTCTTTTCAGCATGACATTATGTTATATTTGTGATACAGCTGAATGTGTCAAGATTACATGTAGAAATATATGTTGATTCTGATACTGCAAAACAACAAACAAATGAGCTCTGTTGAGTTTTTGGCACCATTTTTCAAACAAGTCCTGTGTTCAATGGAGAACAGTAAGAGAAAGTTTCTCCCTTAACATAAAATAAAAATGCTTAATTATTAAAATCCTAATTAGTATTTCAGAGTGTCAATTTAAGCAAAAAATATTTAAAACCAAATTTCAAAATTACAATGTAGAAAAATGACCTTATGGAAAAAAAATAATACAAACAACATAGGAAGAATAATGACAAAACATTCAGAAATGGTCCAGCTTATTGTTATATTGATTCAAAATGAATGTGAGAGGCCTCTACTGCCAAACACCAACGGAGTCCTGATAAATTCAGCTAGAAATGGCAAAAAGCTTAATGATCAGAGGACTAAACGTGTGGGGGGTTAATTTTCTCACATAATAAGAAGTCTGAAAGTAGTCAACTGTTGACATTTGTTTAGGTCCTCAACTATTCCATTAAGAAACTAGAAATTTTATTATCTTTCCATTCTTCAGTCCTGAGAGTCAAAAATTTTTCTCATCAGCTGGTCAGAAGAGGGCCGTTGAAACTCCAGACAACATATCCACAGCTAAGGCAGAAAAATTTGGGGGTAGGGAAGACCTGCAATAGCCATGTCTTTTCTTTTATTAGGAAAACAAAATGTCTTCTTCGGAATTCAACATACCTCAATGTATGTCTCTTTGGCCAGAAATGCATTACCTGGACACCCCTAGTACAAAAAAATACTGAGTATTTAACCTCAAACTCATACCAGGATGCTCCTCACAGTTCATTTACCATGGATATTGAGTGGACAATTAGAAGTGCCTGTCATGCACTATTTCCCCATAGACAGCTTATAGGGAAAAAAATTAACTAATCATCTGCTTGATGATGGATGACCTACAGAATTTAAAATGAGAAACACTACTTATGAAATACCTCTGATTCTAACCCAGATAAAAAAAAAAAAAGAGGGAAGAAGATACCTCAGATGAATTATCCACATAGACTTATTAAGGCCATGGTTAGTGTTAAAATGGATACATAATCATATAGCCATATATGTCTAACACCTGGGTCATAAATGTTAAAAATTATATTATTCATCTGTAAGTTTTCAAATACCTGGAAATAAAATATTTCACTCTACTGTAAACTTCTTATTGGCCAGTGCTACATTTTACTTTTATCTTTAGCCTCAGCACCTGGCAGTGTATTTGGGACGTGGTGGGCACCTAAGAAATACTAGACAAGTAAATATATAAAAAAAGCAGGCGTCCTCAAACTAAGGCCTGCAGGCCACATGAGGGCCACCTAGCACATTAATCCAGCCCTTGGGTGTTTTTGCTGCTGCTGCCTGTCCTGCATAGCAGCCAACTCATCTCGGGCCCACAGTGTGCACTCTCCAACGGTCTGAGTGAACTGGCCCCCTGTTTAAAAAGTTTGAGGACCCTTGCTCTATAGTCAGAACAATGTATTTGTACCTTAGAACTATGCAGACATTGCCAAGAAATAATATGCTGTTATTGTCATAGTAATCAAAAGTATATAAAGACATCAATCTCAGGGATTCATAAAGAAAATGAACTAATAAATGATAAGCAAAGAACTCACTCTTACATTTCTCTACATGATCAACTTAATGACAAGATAGAAATTAAAACCAATATTTTTGCATATACATGAATATGTATTAATATATCATATATATGCAAATTTTTGGAGCCGTTTTTGTCTTAACAAAAACAATGGAAACAACTAAATACCTCCCAAGAGGGGAATGGCTAAATAAATCATGGTGTACACACAGTATAGAATACTATTTAATATATAGCCACCAAAATGACTGAAGGAGGTCAATATGTACTGTGATTGAAAATTCAAATGAGGAAAGGAAAATCCAGACTACAACTTACTTTCAATAATGTCATCTATGAAAAAATACGTAAACATTTTTCTACATATAGTATCTATAATATTCATATATTTATATAGATGCTATATAATCTATTAAAATATATAAAAATCTATCTGGAAAATGGATTGCCCCTGGAGAGAGGAAATCTGGAAAGAAGATTGAGTTGAAATAGAAATTTCCACTTTTTTTTAAACCTTACATTTTTTTGCATATGGTATATGTATTGCCTTCAATTAAAAAATAAAAATGGAGAAAATCAAACTTTTGAGAATTAAGAAAGAACATCATTTTGTAGCATCACTCTGATATCATTAATTGAATAACCAATATTAAGTAACTTAAGTTACTTAATATTTTTGAGCTTTAATACTAATTATCCACAAAATAAGTAAAAGATTTCACTCAAATTTTTCTCTTAAAACTACTAAAATTCATAAAACAGCTAACACTAGGCATGGCATGTACTAGACACACAATATATATTAGTCCATTGACATTTATTATTCTCTTATTATTTCCATTTATATTCTCAATTATTTCTCTTTATTTCTAAAAACTAAAAATAAAGTGTTCATTCAGTGGCTAAAGACAAAGGCAAGATAAAAGCACAACACATCCTTAGGTACTGTTGATCTCAAAACAATGAACTGCCTCTCCTGTTACTCAGACAAATATATATTATGAAGAAAATTTAACCATCACATAAAACTTTATTATTATGAATTCTGCTTTGACATAATTCAATACTTCCATACTAGGGACATGTTTAAATTTTTGTCTTGTTCACTTTAGTAAAGAATAGATTTTAGAATTTTATACTCAGAGTCACCCTTCCTGTTTTTTATTGCTATGCTTTTATGTTACCATGGAAACAATGTCTATTTTTACAGTTACTTAGTTTTGAAATTTTATAAGTAGCCCCCAGCCCATAAAATTATTCAAATCTCTCCTACTATTACACAAAAGTCGTAACAAATGTTAACATCATTTTTTTACTTAGTTACTTTTATAAAAGAAGGTACTTTTGGTTTGTTGACAACTATACCTTAACCATTTCTCCTTGAACAGTTTTGATAGTTTTGGGATTTTTTTAAGGCCTTGCAAATATCAAGAAGAAATTTACTTTCAATCATTTGGGGAATATTTTTTCTTAAGCACTCAAATTTCCAGCAAAATCTGAAATGGAATCGATGAAGGTTTTTGTAGCAGGAATACTGCAAAAACAAACAAGTAGAGAATTATTAAATTCAACATGACTATTTTGAGGGGCTCTTTTTAAAAATCCTATAAATAAAAGGCATGTAACACAAAGAATAATGCCAAAATTAGACACTCCATTTCTGTCTGTCCTTACAATCATTTCTTTTCATTAGCAAGTAGCATTATTATGATCATTAACACTTTCAAAGTAAAGAAAATGAGATGTTGATTAACTTAAATATAAATTTTTACAAGTGAAAGACAGACCTTACAATTTACTGACATATAATATGTTACTGAGCTATGACATTGTCTTCTCTGTACTTCTGAGAAGATGACATCAATTCCTGGAAGCAGTTCCATGTCCCCTACAATGTTAATGTCTCAGTTTTACATCTTCATCTCCCACTTCTCTCCTGAGCTCTGAAAGCTACTGTCAATTAATTATTGTGAATGTCTACAGGCATTTCAAACTTACCTGTTTCCAAACTAGACTACTTTTCTTCTTTTTCATGTATTTATCCAAAATTGAAACTTAACATAGAAACTTCATTCCTGAAATCTGATTAATCACCAAATCCTGATATTTCTATGTAACATTATTTCCTGACTCCTACCTCTCAGTAGGAGACCCTTCATAACCAGGGGCTCTGTCTTTGTCCTACCCTATATATCTTCTCTATTTTCAGTATGGTTTAAAAACCTCATTGTTTCCATGAGTATATCATTCATGCTACATCAATTTAAAAACTGATTACAATCTTCAGCAGTTCTCCTCTGCCTAAAAAATAAAGTCCAAATTCCTTAGTATGATATAGAAAGCCCTTCACAACTTTATTTCCATCTGGCTTCCCAGCCTGATCTACCTTGATGTTCCAACAGACTTTTGTGCTCTAGACATATGTTAATAATTCCCCATTCCCTGCATGCTTCTAGCATTTTTCATATCCTAACAGTTCACTTATACTGCTCTCTCTGATTGAG